TTTAAAAATAAATAAACTCAATTGTTGATGCCATTTAACTGTTATTGAATTTAACATTTGTCCTGTATGCAGATGAAAGAATATACATGGGTACGACGACTGTACATAATCACAGTCGCCTTTTGATTTCAACAGCCAAATAATCGATTAAAATTAAATTAAATTTGTCATGAAGACAATGGCACACAAAACAGAAATAGATACGCTGTGTGAAAATAAAAATCTCATTTTAATACTTTTATTTCACATTATTCCAAACATAACATATTCATCTAATTCAGCAGTTATAGGATATGGTGATTTTGCTGCTAATACTTGAGTTTAAATTTCGGTCCGAATATGCTTTTGCAAGTGAATATATTCAAAAAAAGAATTAATATAAACTTGACTGGAAACGTATTCTTCTCGATTAAATGTAAACATGTGAAACATATCGATAAGTTTACAATTATTTCCAATAGATGTAGATGAAAGTTTGTTGTTTTCTTTATTATATCCTCATACTTGTACTCTACAAAGATTTAATTGATTGTTTCAATAGAAATAAGATGAGAATATCAGTCCGAAAAAAAAACATCTGGTAACTTCCAATTTAATGTTTTATTGAAAACAAAATGATTTGGATTAATGTCGATATTTACTGTTGGATTACAAAATATACTCGAGTGTATAGAAATCAAATGAGATTTTCAATTATCAGAGGATTATAAAATTCAATTTGCAATTTTGAAATATTATTTTGATTTATATCAGAATATTTAAGAAGAATACGAATGCACTTTTATCACAATAAATATATTTATTTCATTTTCAATTTACAATGATAATAAAAATCATACAGAATACTTTCGTTTTTCTTCTTTTAGGGTAGGAATTTTTTTTGTTTTTTATTTGAATTACATTAAGAATAAATTTTAGTTCGATAGGTTTGTTTAAAATTTTGTGTTGTATGTTTATCGAGAAAATAAAATGATTTGAAATAGTTAAAATCAATTGTGAAATATGTCAAAAGGCAATTCCATACAGTCGATGTTCGCTAAACAGTGCTTGTGGATGTTTTCCAACGGTAGGTATGAATGATGTTGGTGTTTGTGCGTTTCTTTGGACATTTTGTTCTCAACTTGTTCCATGTGGATCATCACAAGAATGTTTTCATCCAGATTATATTTGTGTTCATCATTCTCGATGTAGTGAACATCCAATTTGTTATCCATTATCGATGACAGAACAAAACATTTGTCCATCATTAATTAATGGTGAGGAGAGAATATTTTATGAAAATGATCTCTAATATTCAGGAAAAGTCATCAATGAGACGACAACAATGGTTCCAATTGATACAACTACGATGAAATTGGATACGACAACAAGAGGTCAGTTCAAAAATAGATTAAATAGTTTATTTAGAAAATGTCAATACCAGATGGTATTGCTACATTCTTACTTAGAAGCGTCGATATGATCAAAAGGAGATTTTCTTTTTTATATTTTAGGAGTCAAATTCAACAAATGGAAACAAAATGCAGTGACCATTGTTGGGACAAATGAAGACAAACAAAATCATCTTTACTCTCCTCATGGAATTTTTCTTGATAAAGATCAAAATCTTTTTTTTGCGGATGCTGAAAATCATCGAATTATTCAATGGAAACCAAATGAAAATCAACGGAAAATTGTTGCAGGTGGAAATGGAAAAGGAAAAGGAATTGATCAATTGAATTATCCAACAGATGTGATTGTTGATGAAGAAAATAATTCATTAATCATTGCTGATTTTGGAAACAATCGAATAACTCAATGGTCATTGAGTCAAAATCAACAAGAAATTCTCATTGAAAATATGAATTATTGGAGTTTAACAAAAGATACATATGGATATCTTTATGTTTCGAATTGGGGAAATAATGAAGTGAGAAGATGGAAAATTGGAGAAATCAAAGGAAAAGAAGGACAATTGGTTGCTGGAGGAAATGGACAAGGAAATCAACTTAATCAGTTCAATGGTCCTACGTATATCTTTGTTGACAAACAACAATCGATTTACATTTCAGATTCGAAAAATCATCGTGTTATGAAATGGAAAAAAGATGCACAAGAAGGAATTGTTGTTGCCGGGGGAAATGGTCAAGAAAGTCAATTAAATGAACCTAAAGGAATCATTGTTGATGACTTTGATCGAGTTTATGTTGTAGATGAAGGAAATCATCGAATAATGCGATGGATCGAAGGAGAAGGGGAAATTATTGTTGGTGGAAATGGAAAAGGAACCCATTCCAATCAGTTGAATCGTCCCACTGGTTTGACATTTGATCTTCACGGTAATCTTCATGTTGTTGATTGGGGAAATCATCGAATTCAAAGATTTGATTTAATTTCGGAAGAAAAAACAGTTTGAACTTTTATTGTTTTTAATGATTTTGAAATCAAATTTTAAAAGTTTATTCATAAAAACATTTATCAACCATCATAAATAAAATGTTTAAAAAAATCTTTTATTTTTCTCTTTAATGAACGAATTGTTTTATAAACCAGGCATGTGAATTATATTTTGTATTGGGGAAAAAATTTAGGTCTCCTTGTGAATTGTCTACATTGACATAAGAAATCCCATTCGGAAAAACTGAATCTAATGTAATTGATGCATAATATATCTTTTCTGCAATATCAAATGCTGAAAATGACGTAACTCCAACATCTGGACTTTCAGAAATGATTCCAACATTTTTACTAATTCCACCCTTCGTTCGATCTAAAATTCCAATTGATGAAACATATCTGATACTTGTATTTACATATGTTGTATACATTGTAAATGTTTTATAATCAAATTTCATTCCAGTAGGTGAATAATTAAGTTTTGCTTTCCAATCTAGACCACCTGAATTACTTGTATTTACACCAGCATAGACAAAATGTTCATCTTCAATCATCATGAGAAAATATTTTCGACAAATTGGACAATAACTTGACATATAAGTTGGTTTACTATCTCGAATTGTGGCTAAAACGTGTTTTATATTTCCATTAGTTGTATCGATTTCTGTCAATAGTGTAACATTTTCTTTTTCACTTTCAATATGTGCGAATAATTGTTTTTGAAATATATCAAATTGAAGAGAAATAATTGTATTTGATATTGATTTAAATGTTGATAGTAAATGTCCAGTTGTAGCATTAATAACACTTAAAATCGGTCTATTATCATTATCTGGTGCTGCCATGTAAATAACATCATCATTTGGATCATATGTCAATGGTAAAACAGAATATTTTATACGTTTAGGATTGCCAACATCATTTATATTTAATGAATTGAAAATATTATATTGTTCTGTATCATAATTGATTGATCCATAATAAACTTGTGTTGTATTAGAATCAGAAAATACACTATGAAGAATTCGTGAGGAATCGGATTTAGCTAAACAGCTTGTTATTATTAGAACGAAAAGAAAATACATTTTCATCTTTATTCACACGATCTCAACAATATGATATTGAGTTCTTTCTTTCTTTCCTTCTTTATATATCTACAGCAAGAACCATTCGTGTAATGCTGTATCATCATGTGGTAAAGATTATTTTGTATGATAAAGAAAAAAAATGAAGTGATGATGATGTTTCTTTAATGTATTTAAAAAAGTAGAGATAACAAATGTTCTCATGATACAATGAAATAAATGTGAAAACTTCGGGTTTTATGCGAAAGTTATATGTAATTCAAAAAGTCACAGCGAAGTATTAGCCGTAAACTTTGGCACGTTGACAATTCGTCATACACGTGTAATACGATTAATTTATATTGAAGACAAGATATCATAAAAGTACCAGAGTAAAATTGATTTTAAACTCCCATAAAAACGTTCTCGAAAGCCTTCAAATGAAAAACATTATTTTACTGAGCATCAAACACAGTTCCATTCCCTTTGTTCTGTTAAGTGGCTCTTCAGTATCAAAGATCTAATAGTAAAGTAGCCTTGGGCTCTGAGAACATAATCCATGAATTCGCTTCCTAAAAGAGAGGTAGAGATAGAGACCCACGAAAAAATTTTTCGATCAAAACCGTGGTAGATCACGGTGCGAGAGGGCGTTGGTGTCAGCGGTTTAATTGAACCGCGAAAGTCAGACCTTTTATTAGGTTTTCTCACACCGGCCGAAACCGCGGTTTGAGAATACCGCGGTTATTAATCGTTTTCCGAAAAAAAAGTAATTCACCATCATGGTGGTATATCATCTCTGCCGTCTATCTCATTATCATCTNTCCAGATTATATTTGTGTTCATCATTCTCGATGTAGTGAACATCCAATTTGTTATCCATTATCGATGACAGAACAAAACATTTGTCCATCATTAATTAATGGTGAGGAGAGAATATTTTATAAAAATGATCTCTAATATTCAGGAAAAGTCATCAATGAGACGACAACAATGGTTCCAACTGATACAACTACGATGAAATTCGATACGACAACAAGAGGTAAGTTCAAAAATAGATTAAATAGTTTATTTAGAAAAATTTCAATACCAGATAGTATTGCTACATTTTTACTTAGAAGCGTCGATATAAACAAAAGGAGATTTTCTTTTTAATATTTTAGGAGTCAAATTCAACAAATGGAAACAAAATGCAGTGACTATTGTTGGGACAAATGAAGATAAACAAAATCATCTTTACTCTCCTCATGGAATTTTTCTTGATAAAAATCAAAATCTTTTTTTTGCGGATGCCGAAAATCATCGAATTATTCAATGGAAACCAAATGAAAATCAAGGGAAAATTGTTGCAGGTGGAAATGGAAAAGGAAAAAGAATTGATCAATTGAATTATCCAACAGATGTGATTGTTGATGAAGAAAATAATTCATTAATCATTGCTGATTTTGGAAACAATCGAATAACTCAATGGTCATTGAATCAAAATCAACAAGAAATTCTCATTGAAAATATGAATTATTGGAGTTTAACAAAAGATAAATATAAATATCTTTATGTTTCTAATTGGGGAAATAATGAAGTAAGAAGATGGAAAATTGGAGAAATCAAAGGAAAAGAAGGACAATTGGTTGCTGGAGGAAATGGTCAAGGAAATCAACTTAATCAATTAAATGGTCCAACGTATATCTTCATTGACGACCAACAATCGATTTACATTTCAGATTCGAAAAATCATCGTGTTATGAAATGGAAAAAAGATGCAAAAGAAGGAATTGTTGTTGTCGGTGGAACTGGTCAAGGAAGTCAATTAAATGAACCTAAAGGAATCATTGTTGATGAATTTGATCAAATTTATGTTGTAGATGAAGAAAATCATCGAATAATGCGATGGATCGAAGGAGAAGGGGAAATTATTGTTGGTGGAAATGGAAAAGGAACCCACTCCAATCAATTAAATCGTCCCACTGGTTTGACAATTGATCTTCAAGGTAATCTTCATGTTGTTGATTGGGGAAATCATCGAATTCAAAGATTTGATTTAATTTCGGAAGAAAAAACAGTTTGAACTTTTATTGTTTTTGATGATTTGGAAATAAAATTTTAAAAGTTTACTCATAAAAATACTTCTCAACTATTATAGATAAAATGTTAAAAAAAATCTTTTATTTTTCTCTTTAATGAACGAATTGTTTTATAAACCAAGCATGTGAATTATATTTTGTATTGGGGAAAAAATTTAAGTCTCCTTGTGAATTGTCTACATTGACATAAGAAATACCATTTGGAAAAACTGAATCTAATGTAATTGATGCATAATATATCTTTTCTGCAATATCAAATGCTGAAAATGACGTAACTCCAACATCTGGACTATCAGAAATGATTCCAACATTTTTACTAATTCCACCCATTGTTCGATTTAAAATTCCAATTGATGAAACATATCCAGTACTTGTATTTACATATGTTGTATACATTGTAAATGTTTTATAATCAAATTTCATTCCAGTAGGTGAATAATTAAGTTTTGCTTTCCAATCTAGACCACCTGAATTACTTGTATTTANTGCTTTAATTCGATAATGATAATAGATCGTGTTCAATAAGAATTTGTATTGTAATGCATATTCCAAGAACACCGGTTCGTGCAGCTGAATATTTTTCATTCGTTTTACCAACGATTTTTTGTATCGCTTTTCAATCGTGGGTAGTTGAAAATGTTGATGTAAGTCTGCTGTAGGACATTGAAACAGACTGTGTATCAGTCTTAAGCATCGCCGATAAAAAGCTGCTACACGTTCACGAGACGTCTTGGAGAAAAGACAGTAAATTGTTGCCATCATATACATGTGAGGCCATATATATGTATTGAAAAATTTCATTTTTAGTTTCGAAAATGAGGGAAACTGCCGGTGAATAAACTTTAATATAATATAAGCTTTTCTTAATTTTAAACATTGAGCATCAATCATATTCCGAAAGGACAGCTTCGCATCTAGATGAAAGCCAAGGTATTTGAAATTTTTCTTTTGAATAATTCTCACTCCATCATAGTAAATGTCGAGTTTGGGGCACTGAATTGATTTATGGTAAACTACAAATTCAGTCTTGTTGGGGTTAAGTGGTTGATGCCAGTCATTCGAATATTTTAATAGGTTTCCCATGTCCCTGTTGATGCGTTCATTCATTTGTCCAATTTGAGGTTTTAATTTCAAATGAAAAGATGGGATATAGGCGATTGCTATATCATCAACATAGGCATGTACATGGATGGGATTTTCAAAAATATAAGGGATGTCGTGGTGGCTGATGACATACATTACCGGGCCAAGACAGCTTCCTTGAGGTGCTCCTCGTTCTACTTTGACTAATGCTGATTCTATACCACCATAGTCAATTTTGAGTGATCGTTCGGTGAAGTAGTTTGCGATCCATATAAGATAGGGCGATGGGCAGTTAAGCCTATTTAACTTCAATAGTAATCCCTGCTGCCAGAGCTTATCAAAAGCTTGCAGAAAGTCAATGTAAACGACCGGAGTGAATGAGTTGTGGAGCAGAGATTGGGTAATTTGTTCTAATAGACAATTGACGCGGGTTGTTGTTGCCTGATGAGGTCTTGCACCGGATTGTTGTGAGGGTAAAACATTCATTCGTTGAGACCAGCTGTTAAATCTCATGAGAAAAAGTTTTTCATATATTTTACTGAAAGCTGGTAACATTGAAATTGGTCGTAGTTGATTTGTACGTGGTGCTGGATCATCACTTTTATTAAGACAAATAGTTCTGGCTATTTTCCATTCTTTTCCCCAATGAGCGTTACGAAATAAATTATTATAAGCATTTGTTAATAGAGTATGGTAATGTGTTGGAAGTAATTTGATCATTTTGTTAGAAACATGATCGAATCCAGACGAGTTTTTGCTTTTTAATGAATTGATTGTCTTTTTTAAATCTTGTTTTTCGAATTGGAGGTCTGAATGATAAGAAACTAGATTGATATCATCTCTTTCGGCTGAACTGTATATTCTCCATAACTCTTGAGCTTCTTTATCGAGTGAGTTCGTCATGTTTAATTTTGGTAGTGAATGTCTTTCGGTAAAGTGTTCGTTTAAGCTTTTCACTATGTCCTCTGGTTTTCTGTGCACCATCTTTTCTTCAGTTAATGCAACAAATTCGGCTGATTTCTTTTTGTTTAATTTTTTCACTGTTCTCCAGAATGTCGTCGGATTCGGTGAAGCAACGTTGGAAATGAATTGTTCCCAGCTTCGTTGTCTATGTGATTGAAATTCTTGCTTAACTAAGACGTTCCACGACCTTAGCCGTAATCGATCTTCCTCGTACTTCGTGTGCCGATATCTATTTTGTAAGTAATGCTTGTGTCGAAGGAGGATTCGTAATGAGGATGAAATAGATGGTCGTTTCCGTTTAACTTCTTGCCATTCTGTTACTCGAAGTTTAAGTGCTGCTAAAAAACTTTCAAAGATCATGAACCAGCTAAATGTGTCGTCAGAGTTCTTCATCAGAGCTTCTTGTTCACACTGTAATTGGTCTTGTACAACGATCAGAATCGACGAAAACACTTTCCAGTAGGTACGGGGTACGAGATGATTCTCAGTTGATGTATTGAGATCTAGGAAATTAGTAAGAACTGGTAAATGATCACTGCCATTATAAGCTAGAGTACGACATTCGGATGCTTCGGGTTGCTCAGTCGATATGAAAAGATCAATTGTTGTATCGGATCGCAATGACGTTTTCAAACCGGCATTGAGTACATTTAAGTTGTGGTTGATAATCCATTCAGCCAGTACTCGTCCTTTTGGATTCACCTGCTGGTCTGGGCAGCCCCAGTCCTGATGCTTGGCGTTTAAATCTCCTATTAATAAGATGTTTTTTCCTTGATTAAGTAATGTTGTCATTGCTGATATTGGTAATTTCTCAGCTGGCGGCGAGTAAATGCTTGCAATAACAAATTCCTTATCATTAATGAGGGTTTGGACTGCTATAATATTCGGCTCCTTNTCATCACAGCAAGGGATAAGGATAAAGATGAAGATAAGATACGAAGAAGAACGTAAGAATCGATATGTACGCGACTAACCGGTGCGAACGAAAAGTCGTGAGTGACTCCTCGATTGCATGTCCATGCTTCAATTGTTGTATTGATTAAATATTCTTCCATTCCTGAAAGTTCATCATCAATATTTGTTGGATCAAAATATCTATAATCGTTAATCAAATTCTTCTTTTCAATTCGTAAAGATAATTTTCGTTTCGGAATTTGAAAAGAAGAAGAAGATAAATTCAAATCTTTTTTAGATTTTTCTAATAATATTTCATTGATTTTTTCTGGATAATTCGATAGATGAACATTTTGGACAATCTCAGTCATATAATGATGTTTATCCGGTCGATATCCTCGAAATGCCGTTGATATATTCGCACAATAATATTCATCTTCACCGTAAGAACATTCCAATATTCCATTACATCTAGCATTTAATATACATGTTCCATTGAGACAATTAACATCTGGATATGGATCTGTTAGTGGAACTGTATCACCATTACAACGAATTTTTGAATTATTTTTTAAATAAAAACATAAAATCTTATCTTCACCATTTAAACAACGATTAATACATTGTTCTCTATAAGGAATACAATGGTTATCAATAGTCGTTACGGATTGTTCTATTGGACAATCAAAATTAAAACCTAACATTCTTTGGGAAGAACAACCACGAATATTTCGTTCGTCTAATCCACCATAACAATCAGATATTCCATCACCAATCTTTGTTATATTTATACATGGAGGATTTTCAGTGAAATTAAATGGATTTTTAACATTTGTCAATAAACATGGATATTCAAATTGAGTACAAAGATTTGAAAATGGTCGTATGATATGTATTCCACGACATTTTTCTTGTAGTATTAGTAATTTAATAGAATCGATAACTTTCGAATTATGCAACGATAGTTTAGTTATTGTTAAGAAAACTTCTTCATCACTTGCATCACTACAATCCCATTCACCATCGCAAATCCATGCTGATGGAATACATTGTCCATTGTGACATTGATAATAGTTACTTGGACAAATCCAATCTTTACATAAAAATGGTGTTTCATCAAAACCTAGTTTTAAATCCCAAATTGTATCACAATATTGATTAAAAGACATTGAATTAATCTCTGACAATGTTAAATTATTATTTGTATCATAATTTGTCGTATTTATTATTGAAAGAAATAATGATGATGATTGTTCAATATATTGTTTTATTAGTTGACATGCTAAAGGATTATCAATAGTACATAGATGATTTGATAATTTTAGATTTTTTTCAATAAAATATTCATCACGATTATTAGTAAGACATTGTGGAAAAGTGTCGCCAATATTTGTACTTAAAAGACATGATGGTTCTTCTTTAGAACATTGAAAACGATGCTTTTGAATTGATGAACAATTAACAGGTAGTAGTGAAGGATTGACATTGTTAGATGGTTCATCATCGTCTGATTCACAATCACTGTTACCATCAGCTATACGATATACAGATATACATCGATCAGTATATGGACATTTAACTGATTTATATAAACTTTTCCAACAGTTTTCATCATATTGCGGACCTGATAGATTACGGATAGCAAATCGTCCAGTACTTATTATATTACAATATAAATATTCAAAATGACGCCATGTAGCACTACTAGCAAATGTAAAAGCATCATAATCTATAAAGTTTAACTCTTTGACAGAAACTTGAAATCCATTGCATTTAATACTTCCACTAAAGGAAATATTATTCGGTCGTCGATTTCCATATAGATAATCTAATAGATAAAATGTTTTGACAAATGGAGCAAATATTCCACCTTTGGGATATTCAACATAACTACCATTGGTTGTACAATTATAATATATAATGCGATTTTTACAATTTTGACCATTACAAGGACAGCCACGTCCTTGGCCATTAGTTAATGCACATTTAATCAAAAATAAACAAATATCATCTGTAGTATTTCCTTCTAATCGACCATAAAGTACACACTGTCCATTTTTCTTAGTCCACATCATCAGTCCAGATTGATCTAATTCACACATGAAATTTTTATCACGAAAAGTAAGACAATGTTCATTATGATATGATTCACTATATAAAACAGCTGTATCTGGATATAATTCACCATCACCACAAGAAAAATATGTTCTTGGTGCTAATAATTCTTCACAATTAAAATCTGGTTTAAATGGACAATCATTAAATCGAATATGATATTTTGATAATGCTTTATATTGTTCATCTGTACGATCCATACAGTCAATATCACCATCTAGAAAAAATTCTTCATCAATACATTGTCCATTCGCACAACGATATTCATTTATTTGACATTCATTATATTCAAGTAATTCACAATAATCTTCATCTAATCCATCCATACATTGTTGTTTACCATCACATATATTTCTCCAATCAAGACATAATAAACCATAATTACATTCTAAAGTTTTATAACATGTTCGATTTCCAACATATTGACTTCCAAATCGATGTAATCGTTTTATATTATATTGATATTGAAATGTTTCTTCAAATGTTGAATAACTCATAAAATTATATTCACAAAATTTACCAAATGTTCCAATTTTTATGCAATTACATAAAAACATATCTTTATCATAGTTAGACGACGTATAATGGTTCAAACTATAATTTTATTAAAACATAATTTTTTGTAGAAAATCTTTCACTCACCTGTTTAAATATGCTGCATATGAATCTACTGATTCAATTCCTGAATTCCAATATAGAATTTCTCTAGGTTCAATACCAAGTATATTCAACAAATGAAAACTATACTTTATTCCATGATTAAAACAAACACTATTGTTATCCATTGTTCGTTGTAAATTGATTGATTCATCTAGTCGAATACAATATTTCGTCGATTGTAAATGATATATTTTATTTGTATAAGAAATACAATCATAAAAATCTGTTTTTATTTGATCATTTGTTTTATAGATGAAAACGAATGTAAAACATCGTTGAATTAAACAATAAAGTGTTAAGAAATAAAATTGATCACGAATCATTTTTTATCAGTTTCGAAAAGAAAAAATATTTCTAATAACAAGATTCTATGCGAACAATAACAAAATGATTGACATATGTCATATCAATAAATATATTGATTTTTATTAAAGTAAATATTAAATTCATCTACTCTTTTTTTTTATTGTTGATCAATATTGAAAATAAAAATTTATAGAGAAGCATGTCAATTTTATTTTAGATGAGTAAAGTAGAGTCTGGATAAGAAACTAACTAGGTTAAAATTAATATTACTAATGATATATAAGCAACGATCTCTTAGTTAATCATCTCTTTTTCTGTTATCGAAAACTTCAGCAAGTTTATCACGTAAATTTTCATATTAAGTTCAACCTGTAATGTAATTCGGATTTGATCTTGTTACAGATGAATCTGTATCATCACTCAGTAATCTACCTTCGACTGCGTATTCAATACTTCACTAATGCAATATGATATCATCGTTGCATTGTTGTTAATGTTAATATAACTTTAATTTTTTCATCATTTCCATGTAATACCATACTATAATCGACCATAACAATATTTTTACATAACTAAATTTTTGTCATTTATTTGTGAGAGAACAGCTTGCATTGGGATGCTCCATGTCGGTCGTAGTACTTGTTATTCGACCTTGATATATTGGTTGTGAACAAAATAAGCCATATCTTGGGAACAAAATTCTTAAAGATGTGGCTGTGAATCTAGAACATCTCCTCTTCACCTACCCTCACCGTCATCCCTGCATTCAACTTCAAAAAACACGAGCAGCGGATTATGCTCATGTTAACAAACCCAGTCTGGATTATAATTCTTATTCTATCGATTTCAGCTGTTAAGAAACAGAAGATGTCGATGAAAACGATACAGATTTTGAGAATTCAGCCATTTTCCTTGACGATAACCATTTGTATGATGACTTCAGTGTTAGTCGTACAACATTTCATAGAATCCGGATATTTGATTCTATTAGACATGATTAGGCTAAATCGTATATTGCTGTGAATATAAATGAAATACAAAAATATTTGCATAAACAAACAGCTGTTTGGACCTTATCAAAAGAGAAATATACACCCGGCTGGAAAGGAATAAAGAGAAAATATCGTTAAACTTTTTCATCTCCCGCTCGACTCGTCCTACCGCCTATAATGTGTCTTCTATGGGACTGTTTCCGCTGTTAGTGAGCTATCTGCAACAAAACTTTTTCATCGGACTTGTTCCGTGAGATATCCTCAAAAGGATTGTTTCCGCTGTGTATTAGGCGTTCTCCAAAGGATTAGACATGCACCAAATCCAAACTCAAACTGTTTTGAGGTTTGGATATGAGTAGTAACTTTTAAGTTCGGATTTAGAGTCAGTATCCGATACATTAAATCGTGGTGAATCAAATAAGGAAAAAACTCGAATAAAACAATAATATCAGTGTGAAGCTAGCACGAACAAACGATATGTTAGGTTAAAACTTTTTTACTATGTCCCGTCCATGAAAAACTTTTTCTTTTATATCAATGGTTAAAGGTACAATTTGACCATCATTTGTTTTGTATGTTGAACAACGTTGAATAACAATTTCTGATGCACCTTTCATTAGAATTAGAATCAGAATTGTGTTTCTGTGTGATTCAAATCGATTAGCTGTTATCATAAATTCTTTAGCTGAATTGAATGGTAATATTTTGAAACGTGGATTTAAACAACGTATTTCATCAATTTTCATTTGACATTCATAGACACATCGATTGTAGAGAGCAATATCAACTGAGTCATCAGTAACATGTAATTTTGGATTGAATTTTGTTATACTATGTTTGTTTTGACATTATTACATAGAGAAACATCAAGAAATACATCATGAATAATTTCATTTAAATTTTTGTGATGATTTAAATTTAATGGTGATGTCTCAATGTCTGGTGATACGGTTACTGTAGGACGAGGATGAGTATGAAGAGATCCAACAGATAATCGACGAATGGGTTGTGATGTTGACATTTTTATAATTGAATTTTCTATTTTACTTTCTTTTATTTTATACCTTCTATCCGTATTCCAAAATATACGAGTGATCACCAATTAATTCTTGATTAATGTATCTGTTTCATCCGTCTCAGTCACTGAAGTAACAATGAAAGTTTCAACAATTTGTAAACTTTTCCGTAATATTCGTTGTTGACTCATTCGTTTAACTACAATTGCCAATACTAACGGGAAAAATCATCCTCTAGATACACTTTATAAAAAAGTAACTTACGAAGAGTATTAGTCGATGGTAAACCTACAGGCAAAAAACTAACAATCCGTATCAATTGAATTACGAATATTTCCAGTTGAAGTAATAAAAGTTGGATGATAGTTATTAAGCCATCCTATTCGAGTTATACAAAGAATAACAATACTTGAGGGTGGATAAGGTTGGCGTCGGTGAGTTATCATCCAAGTGATCCTGTGGCAGATAAGGTTGTCAAACTTTGCATGCCGGTTTTTGTGTACTCAAAAAGTGAGTATACTATAGAATGGGTCAGTAGGCCCGTCTGGCCGTTAATCCGATAACTCCTGAAAGAATAATCCAATTTTCATGAAATTTAGTACATAGCCGTATATTGTCAATGTCCCAGACGAGTTCGATGATGAGCCCGATCGACTGTAATACTTCTAACTTACAAAAAAATTCTCAGATTTTTGTGTGCCATCTGATACACTTTTTGAAGTACACGCAACTTTTGGATAAAGTCCGAACTTTTCGCATTTATTTTCTTACATGACACACCACAGACACACGCCACTATTATACATGAACCTGTACTTTCACCATGTTTTTTTTTATCCTTCTCTTCTAGGATAAAACACATGGGTCATGGGTCCTTTTTTCATGTTTCGTGTCTAGCTTTCGTGTCACAAGGTATGGTTGATTTTTCGCCTATGCAGTAATGTTACACGGAATAAAGTTTTGTTACCGGGAAAAACAAAAAACCCTTGATATGAGCTGCATTTCTGGGATATGACATAGTGAATGTAATTTTTCATAACTCAAATAGAATATTGGCCGACGAACTTCATTAAAATAGAGAAATTGTTTTGTAGCATTGTGACTTAAGAGGCCAGCTCTTGATTAACTCTATACATGTGGCATGGAAAAATAAAACGAGATTATGGAAGTAAGAATTAGTGATACTAACAAATCAACTATCTACTCTTATGCACAATCTTAGATTTCGTACGTCTTTATACTTCACCATGCTTCCAATACTTTTGAAGTATCTGAAGTACCGCTTTTCCCTCCTTGTCATACAGTCATCCAATGATACATAGGATTATTCGATTCAGTCAGGGCGGTTATACACATGAGAAGTATCATGAAGTCAACGTACAAAAAGAATGATGTGGATAAAATATCGCACATTTCAACGGAGCAGCACGCAAAAAAGGAATAGTGAGGATGAAGAGACAAAAGGTGAACAAAATCGTACGATTTCTGTTGTATTTATTTCATGAACAAAATTTGCTTTGCATGATGAAAATATCTTAAACTAATATGTATCATTTACTTACACTATTATAGATAGTCATTTGCGTACATTGAATAAAAAGCTTTCAGCGCCATCCCTAACGGAATTAAAAATGTGAAACACAATCCAGTCAGACAAACTTTGAACACATAGAATGCTCAATTTATTTCCCAATCTGCATTCCCATTTATCTAAACTTAAGCTGTTGAAAGCAACATATCATTATCAATAGCGATGTCTGCTGCTTTTTACGAAATTTCTGCTTCATCGGTCACAATATATGATCCTTCTTATTGTGCTTCCATTAACCGATCTTCATCTGTGACACGACCTACACGTGTCGTTCTAATGAAATTGAGAACGAACCTGTCTGTGAGACAATGATACAGTTCATTTGAATTTTCCTGTATAAATCTCTCTCTCTCTTTTCATTTTTTAGGCGTCCGCTTCTACAGATAACAATGAATAACGACCAATGCCTGTTGTTAATAGTCTGTGACAGGATCTTTGGGCTTGTTTATAAGGGTATTTGACCAGTTTTTGGGTCTGTCTGTTGGGCGTCCAAATTTCTGCCCCTACACACTTCAACACTCTCTTTCAGATCGTGTTTCACAAAAAATGATACTATGTGATCGAACGTATACCTGTAGTTGGTAGATAACAACCCAGTGAAGCGAAACGCCTATTATATTTTTCTTTATATCACATCTTTATGAAAAAACATTTCACGTTTTTTTCATATCTCCTCTGAGCACATGTCTTAGTACTTCTTTCATTTATATTAAACTTAAGCTATAAGCGATAATATATTATTCGTCCGGATCAAAACAAATACATTTGTATTATATAAAATAAACGTTAATATACAAACGTACTAAAGAGAAAAACAAGATGGGAGCATCCGAAAGTACAGATTTACCGTTTTATGATACCGCAAATACAGATGCTACAATTGTATTAGAGAAACCAATACAATGGTATACACCTGGTGAGACCGTATCTGGTAAAGTTTCAATTAATATACCGTGGAGTAAACCGATATCACTCGATTTAATGGGTGAAGTTGGTTATACAATGACTTATTCAACGGATACAAATATGGTTCGCGTTGCATATCATCGTATGCCTTTTTTTACAGTTACGAAAACAGATGTTAATGATGGTGATAAATTTGAACTTAAACTTGCTGAAGAATTACCACCATCTGTGAATACTGAAAAGAATTCATATCCTTATATTCGCTATTTAATACAAGTCAATTTTAGTCGAACGCATAAATCGCGATATTGGATTATTGTATGTCCACGTGTTGTTCTCAATCGTGCAAATATTCGTCCTGTTCATTTTGATGCATTCAATCGTAAACAAATGCGTTTAGTATGTTCAATAGACCAAGAATGGGTATTACCTGGCGATCAATTACAAATTGAGTATAAAATAACTAATCAAAATCAAGAACTTATCAAAAGTATGGATGGAAATATTTCAATGAAAGCAATTGTTCGTGGCATTGATTATAATGAAACAATTTTGAATTTTGTGATTGATGATGTATATGATACAAAAGATGATTATGTAAGTGGTATGACTCGTATATCGCTTCCGACACAATATTTCCCGCCATCATTCTCCTATTTTAATGAAAAAACAAGATTTCGTGTCCATATTGAATATCTCCTTTCAGTTGACGTCCATGTTGAAGGTGTTAATACTAGTTTGAAAACTACCGTGCCATTAATGATTGGATTTGAACCTGAAAATATCACATTTAATGAGGTTATGTCACCGAATCAACATCGATTATCAGTTACAAGTTTACACAAAAAACGTCATTCACGTTTACGTCATTTCAGTCGTTTCAGTCATTCGTAATCGATTGTTAACCTCTTAACGAACTTTATTTGATCTCTGCTTTATTCCCCTATTTTTGATCATGCTGAATAAATTTTATTAAAAGAGAACTATCTGTCCTTTCCTTTCATGAATAACAATTGTGAATAATTCGAGAATATGATATAAACATCTGTTTTGTTCGTGAATTATAAATCCACTGTACATAGAACATTAAGTCTTTTCAATATAAATTGTCCTATCTGATGAAAATCATATTAACCATTTCAAGACGGACGCCCACTATTATGGTCACCAACTGTTATTAAACACATACACATAGACATATTATTCATTGATGAACGAGAACAACGATGTATGCATAATCATATACAGGGTAGTAAATGATATTATTCAAGGAGATAGTGTCATAATTCTAAGTCAGGGATACGATGAATTTTATACCAAATGAAAGCCCGTGAAAAAAGGAAGTTTAATTATGCTAAGTAGTAAGATTTTTTAGAATTTTCTTACATTAAATTATCAAAAGCTACGACTTCTGATCAACACAAAATATTATAAAATCAGTTTACCGAATCAGGTTTGAACTAAATATGTTGCAAAAAGTTTATCTTCTCGTTACTAATGACCACAATCAATCATAAAACATGGTATATGAACACGAACTTACAGGACTACATCGAATTCATTCTCGGATGCAACAGAATCTTCTTATCAAGAGCTATATAACGACATTGAACGAGCACCAGAAACATTTGTGAATGGTTTACAGTTAGAATATATGACTATAGGTTCAGAAATGCCAATTAGAACTATTCAATTGAATTCTTATCACATACTATCTAATAATAATAATGGTCAAATGAATACCACTTCATTTTCTTCATAGCATCAATTTCATTTTTATTAATATCTAATTTCTCTCCACCATGTACGTAGAATTCAATTTCGTTTTCTAACTTTGTTGATATAATTGATTTATTTAACTTCACCCACTGATAACTGCTAGTCCAAACATCTAGCGTTAATGTTTGTCTGTCATGAAATTCTTTGAGACCTCGTTCGTACGACTTCGACCATCTTTCAACAATTTTGAGTGTTAAAATTTTAAATTTGGACAATGGCAGGCGTTCTCGAAATGTGTTTTCATCTTTGATGGCTCTGTTGTTTGACTCTAAAGCATTATTTGTACTTGGAGTTAAATGACGAATACCTTCGTACCAACCATTATGCGTGTTTAACCATTCATTTTCAAAATATTGAATGAATTCTGGTTGCTTTCTACTCCACTTTTTGACGAAAAGACCAGAAGCTTTCCTAAAAATCTTGTCACTTTGTGCCACTTGTAACATATCAATATCTTGCAGTAAATCTTCTTTGTCCATCTTGTCTACCATTGATTCAACCTTCTTCACCACTTTTCGCCGCATATGAGCCCAGCACATAACCATAAGTTTTTCTCCAAAAACTGATTGAAATCCATTACGAATTGCATCTGAACCATCAGCTATGAGAATATCCGGGTCAATTTTTTGTAAATCAAGTTTTGATACACCTTCTTACAGAGCACGAAAGATGAATGTAAAATCTGCAGTTTTTTCATTTGAACAAACGGCAATTCCAAGCCAATGAAATTGTCGATTAATATCAGTGGTGCCAACGATAAGAACTGGAAAGCCTTGCCACACTAATTTATAAGTAGCATCTGCATGGGTTTTCTTCGATCTTGAAGCAGTACGTAAAAGTCTTTTAGCTGAAACAAAAAAAACGAAGTTTATTTTCACCATCATCATCGTCGTCATCTCCATTCACACAGTTATTGATATTATCATCATAAACAATTTCATATGATACAACGAAACCAACATCGTCAGATTCTGGAATCGATCTGGTCGATTCCACGCACCACTGCTCAATTTCACCAAGACTTATCNTTACCACAACGAGAGTTGGTTATACTCGAAAACTTTGGAATAGATGTTTCCGAACACCTAAACACGAGGGAATCTGCATGAATAAGGAAAACACAATCATACTACGAAAAGATTTTAATCAGCTCTTGCACAATGAGAAAAGAAATATTTGCAAAAGAAATCGAATTGACTTTTGCAAAATTTAGTTTGGGTCCTATTTAATTGGTCAGTATTTTATTGTGAATGGTCAGTATTTTTCTCAGCATATGATCAGTATTTTTTGATCAGTAAATATATGGTTTTTGGTCAGTAAATAATGTGAAATGTCAGTGATTAAATCAAAATATGATCAGTAAAAAAATTATTTTTGGTCAGTAGATAAATATTTCTTGATCAGTTATTTCTTTATTTTTATCAGTGAAAAATGGTACAATTTCAAACAAAAAACTATTGAATAAGCAATGCTTTTCCAGCTTTGGTGGGACGACCCCGACGTCGTTTTTCGCCAATCTTAATGTTTTTCGCAGCAGGCGGTGGTTTACAATAATTCATTCTGATTCCCAATCCAACAATATGTTTACACATAAACTTTTTGAAGAAAGCTGGACAATTGCATCGACCATCCATCCATTTTGATTCATCCAACGGTAATGTAACATGCCAGACATTGAACGCTTTAGCTTTATAATGGTCAAATGAATACCACTTCATTTTCTTCATAGCATCAATTTCATTTTTATTAATATCTAATTTCTCTCCACCAGGTACGTAGAATTCAATTTCGTTTTCTAACTTTGTTGATGTAATTGATTTATTTAACTTCACCCACTGATAACTGCTAGTCCAAACATCTAGCGTTAACGTTTGTCTGTCATGAAATTCTTTGAGACCTCGTTCGTACGACTTCGACCATCTTTCAACAATTTCGAGTGTTAAAATTTTAAATCTGGACAATGGCAGGCGTTCTCGAAATGTGTTTTCATCTTTGATGACTCTGTTGTTTGACTCTAAAGCATTATTTGTACTTGGAGTTAAATGACGAATACCTTCGTACCAACCATTATGCGTGTTTAACCACTCATTTTCAAAATACTGGATGAATTCTGGTTGCTTTTTACTCCATTTTTTGACGAAAAGACCAGAAGCTTTCCTAAAAATCTTGTCACTTTGTGCCAGTTGTAACATATCAATATCTTGCAGTAAATCTTCTTTGTCCATCTTGTCTACCATTGATTCAACCTTCTTCACCACTTTTCGCCGCATATGAGCCCAGCACATAACTATTGGTTTTTCTCCAAAAACTGATTGAAATCCATTACGAATTGCATCTGAGCCATCAGCTATGAGAATATCCGGATCAATTTTTTGTAAATCAAGTTTTGATACACCTTCTTGCAGAGCACGAAAGATGAATGTAAAATCTGCAGTTTTTTCATTTGAACAAACGGCAACCCCAAACCAATGAAATTGTCGATTCATATCAGTGGTGCCAACGATAAGAACTGGAAAGCCTTGCCACACCAATTTATAAGTAGCATCTGCATGGATTTTCTTTGATCTTGAAGCAGTACGTAAAAGTCTTTTAGTTGAAACAAAAAAACGAAATTTATTTTCACCATCATCATCGTCGTCATCTCCATTCACATAATTATTGATATTATCATCATAAACAATTTCATATGATACAACGAAACCAACATCGTCAGATTCTGGAATCGATCTGGTCGATTCCACGCACCACTGCTCAATTTCACCAAGACTTATCCCTGTTGGACCAAATCGTTTCATTCTTAATGCTCTTAAGTAATTGTTCAATTGATTGATAGTTGGTGCCACTATACCACGTTCATGTAATGTTTCAAGTATAGCTTTAGGTTTTAAATTCAAATCATGCAATTCTTTGATAACCACTTTCACGTCATCCGGTATTTTTGTCCATTTTGCTTGCGTAGGATTATGAGTATGATCAGATGTACTACGGAATAAAGTAACTTCTTCACTAGCAGCATTAAATAATAAATAAACACTGGCGTCATATTGTTTTCCACGACGCCTAACCTGATTGCACCTAAAAACCTTCTTTCTTCCCTCTGACGTGGTATTCGTATAATGTTGACTCCATTGATTTTCCTTTTTCACTGCCTGTTCAGCTTCATCGCCGTTTTTAAACACCATTACTTTTATCCATTTGTGTCGTCTGCTTTTTTCTTTTTTCTTGCGTTCAGCTTGAAAACTAGTATCCATATTTTCGTCATCAGAAACGTACAGTGGCAATTCATTGAATTCCATCGCTGTTCGCAAATCAAAACCGAATGGCTATGAATTGAAATTCTATTTAGTTTGATTCGTAAGATGAAGCACTTACATAGGGTTCATCAGAAAAGCAATCGAGGGAACTTCGTCCTTTGTTAAGTCGAAATAGTTATCGTTGTATATCATATATCTATTCATTGTTAGAAGATATCACATAGATGTTATGGTTTTCAAAAAGCCGGTCAGAAAGAAATAAAGCCGATAAGTAGGTCATTTTATATATGTGATAATCGAGGTGCTACAGAACGATGAAAACTGATAAAAATGGGATGATTCACCGATCAGACACAATTTACTACTGATATTTCACTTAAATTACTGATAAACTCATTAACTCACTGATAAAATGATAAAACTACTGATCAAATTCAATACTCACTGATCATCGATTATTTTACTGACATTTGAACTTTTTTACTGATTATTTACAATAAATACTGATCAAATTTTACTGACCATTCACAATAAAATACTGACCATTTAATTTGTACCCATTTAGTTTCTGCATAGATTCCACAATGACTAATAAAAACCCTATCGACTACAACTGAAGTCACACAGTTTCGTCGTCTGAACAATTCATTCAATAAAGATTCCGATGATGACATACACCAACTTACTCGAGAGATAAATCAGCATTTTCTGTACTTCTTTCACGTGTCGAACAGTCCTGACGTGAGCAAATACTTTTGTTCTTATAGAGTTGAACAGGATTTTTAATGAAGCGCAATACATTGTTATCAACAGATCCATATATGTTATATTGATTGGACTGTTGATGAGCGAGAATACTATGACTGGTAAGCCAANTCATTATGAATTGTTAAACTTTCAAGTGAATGTAATTGATTATTTGATAATACTAAACCATGTAAATGCATACCAAGAAATGCATCAGCTGAAATATGTTTTATTCGATTCTTTGATAAACCAATATCAAAAACATGTGTTAAATTTGTAAAAATATTTGATTTAATTTCTTCAATTAAATTATCATCTAAATTAATATAAATTATGTTTGTGAATTGAACTAAAGATGGTATATCAACTAATTGATTTGATGATAAATCTAATTCAGTTACAAATTGAGAAACGAGGCTTTCAATAAGAGGATTAATATTTGTTAGAGAACAATTTTGTAAATCAATTTGTTTCCAGTTTAAAGAAGGTGATTCATTTGAAATAAATTGCATTTCTTTTGAATTGAGAATTCTAATTTTATCAATATTTGTTTGATTAAATGCTTTTAAATTGAAATTATATGGAAGATTATGAATAGTATTATATTGGATATTATCAATACGAAATTCTTCACATTTCAATCCACTAAAAGCATTATCAGTAAGTTGAAAATTTCTTGGTGATTGAAATTTAATATGAATTGATGTATTTAGAAAATATTCCCATGGATAAAAGATATCTTCTGCTATTTCATCAATTCCATTGGTAAAAGTGAATTCTAATTTTGGAGGTGAAGGAAATGTTAAGGAAAAGTTTGTAAATATAAAAGATGTTAAACGTGTGAAATTAATAAAATTAAATGAATATTGTTGATATTTAGGTGGCGAATATGTTGACCAATCGATAAAACTGTCATTACTAGGAGAATTTTCAATACAAGTCACTGGAGGATGAAAATCTTCGCAATAACATGTAATAAATGAATTATTAAGACATATACTTTGTGATTTTATTAAATTTTTAATTGAAATCAGATAAATAATATAGAAAATATTTTTTAATCGAACCATCTTCGTTAAAGTAAAAGAATTCTTTTGTCACCATTCGTTAGATCTTTTACCTTTTATACAAGGTAAATTTTCTTATCAATTGTCTACTGACAAACATATTTTTTATGCTTTGTAATATGATGTTCTTTGGCTACTATTCGTCATAGATGATGAGTGAAAGATATTTTCGATTTGTTTCCATTTATATTTTATTAAACGAGATTTTTCTTAGAAATATCGTTTATGATATGTATTTTCTCATTAATATCTTTTCCAGATACATTTTTTTTACATACTATTCAAGATAAAAAACAAATTCTAAATGAAATCTTTTCTATATTGAAGAGAATACTTCCTATTCCTAAAAGTCACACATCCCTGCATTGCTTTACACCGATTTCGAAAACGCTACCAAACCATTTACCGTAAAACAATACCGAATATTCGGAATTTCCGCACAAAAACAAATTAAGCTTCATATATTTATTTAAATGTATGACATTTCAAGTTTCTAACTAGAAATCATTGAACTGAAAGAAATCAGATAGATATACACAATAGTTAATCAAGACATGAAAAGAATGTTACTATACCGGTTATCCTTTAGTTTATATGTTAGTCTTCCTGCTTGTTTTCTCTCATCTAACCAAAGTTTATAAGAATCTACACTTCCAAATCCTATAGGTGCTCCGATAAAGAATAAATCTTTGAATGCATATATTAATTATTGCAATGTTCTTAATGAAACCGAATCAGAACAGATAAATTCTTTCAATTTTGAGAAATTCGTACATGATTTAACGTTAATTGATGACGATGACATCACGTCTATATGCTTTAATGACTTGATTTTCTCGAGGCAAGTCGGTGAATAATTATGTGTTATTTTCAATATTTCAAAGAAGTGTTCATTTTCTAATCGAATGGATATCTGCCTTGAATGATATATAAGTATATCACAAAATAAAATCGGGTTTATTCTTTCAATAATAATTAATTTTTGAATTGGTGATATATTTAAAAATTCATTTGAGTCATTATAAGCTATATCATCATCGACTTTATGAACAGATAACGGTTGAATACGATTAAAATGTCGTTGAGAACAACGAAGTGTTCTACTAATTGTATCTAGATGTAATTTGTCGATATTTATTGTATAATTTAAATTTTTCGATATTCTTTTATGTGTTTGAAAAATAAATTAATTGTTTGTTTTATACAAGGTAAAGTATAGAAAGAGAAGTAATAATTAAATAAATAATCACAATTAATATGCCATTTCTTCTCGTTTAACCAATAATTTGTTTTAAATGAATCGATAAAATTCTCATATGGTTTGGGAATTAATCTTTCATCAATTGAGAAAAAGAATGGAAAAATTTTTAAACTAATGAATTAGAATGAATTAGTTCGATATATAAACCAAACTCTTGTTTTCAAAATTTCTTCACTTTGGACAAAACCAAATGATTGCTTTTTCTTTCTTAACGACCGTAAGAAATACAAGAAAAATAACTGGCAAATATATTGAGTCACAAAAAAATACATGTGATGTGTTATGAAGATTTGTTAGAAATTGTATGCATTTCGACTATTAAACAAATTTCTCATGAATTTTTTTATACAGTGTGGTGCATAATTGTAAGACCACTTGTTTTATCAATAAGATAAATCAAATAAATGTGATATTTAGTCAGTTAGTACAGTGGAGAACAAGAATATATATATATATATATAATTTTCGAGCGCATATCCTTTAACTTTCCTCTATATATAGGAATTTCTTTATTTCGTTGGTGCGTAAATATAAGACCACATAACATGTTTGCCATAACACTTTTTTTCTCCGCGACATTTTCGTAAACTTACACACTAAATTGACGCTTAGATACGAATAAAGATATGCCGAAAGCAATACAACTGACTGAAGACGAGAAAAGACGTATTCTAGACTTACACAAGCAAAACTATTCACATCGAGAAATCGCAAAGAAAATCAATCGATCCAAAACCGTGGTAATAAATTTTTCGAAAGATCCACTCAAATATGGATCAAGAAAACGAACTGGTCGTAGAAGAAAAGTCGACGAACACACCAAACGGCATATTTTAAGAGCTGCTAGTAAAAAGTCAATATCTTGTACCGATATTATTCACGATTTAAATTCGAAACTGTCAAGGTGGACAATAAATCGGGTTATCAAAAAGTCAAAAATGTTGAAAAAAGAGAAAAAGAAACGTTCTCCACTTTTAACAAAGTCACACAAAGAATTACAATTACAATGGGCTAAAGATCATATGAGCTGGAATAAAGAATGGCGTAAAGTTGTGTGATCGAACGAGAAGAAATTTAATTTGGATGGTCCTGATGGCTTTTCTTACTACTGGCATGATCTGCGTAAGGAGGAAGAAATTTTTTCAACTCGGGCTCAAAGTGGTGGAAGTGTTATGATTGGGGCGGTAAAAGCTCAATATGTTTTGTAGATCGGCGGATGGATTCAAAGGAGTATCGAGAGGTGCTAAAGAATCATCTAGTAGACATTGGTGCCAGATTGATTTGACACAAGGCATTTGGCATGGTCACGCGTCTAAAACATCTGCTGAAAAGTATTCCATATGCAATATATATGGAAGATCGAAATCTGTGATTGAAGAACGTATCAGAGTAATCGAAAAACATTTACAACAAGCACAAGATGCTATTACACAGTTTGAACAAAATCATGATTGTTTAAGCGTATTGAAAGAATTAAACACAAGTATTTATCAATTAGTTCAAGAAAAACAACAAGTTGTAAAGGATAAATTCGAATATCAAAGAAAAATGCTACTTTTGGATGCAACTGACTATCAATTACTTCAAAATTTCATTGATATTGAACCAAACAGGAGACATGTGAGCATATCAACTATAATATTTACTCTGATAATATCATATATCTCTCATTTGAATTTATTACAGATCACATGGACAAGACATATATGGAAAGCAACAAAGGATCAGCTGATAATAGAAGAAGATATTGCTTTGTTACAAAATCGTCTTCTATCTACAACATTAATACCAACATCTGATTTGCTTCATAAAATCATAAATAATATTAATACAAATATTCAAAAACTCAATAATCCATCACCCGACTCAACAACAACTTATACTTCATCAAACAGCATTAAAACACTGATAACTTTGAAGAAAGATATTATTCAAGAAGCTATCTTTATTCATCAGAAAGAACATGAACAAATCCAAACAATTATACAAAAAGAACAGAACAAGTTTTTCGTTCAAAATAGATATATGGAAACAACATCTGAATACCAGAAACGTGTGAATGCAGCTATCGAAAATGGTCGACAACATATGATTGAATATGCAAATTATATACAACAATTCCGTTTGTCAACATCATTCAATCCAACAGATCACCAACCATGAGCAAACGATCCGTAGAAATAACTTCAAATGATAATACAACTAAACTTTCTTCTAAATACAACTTATTTCATTACATTCACCCAAAGCTTTCAACCATTTCCAACACTGAACTAAGATAAGCACACAACATAATAAAATTCTTCTCTTCTTCTAGATTTCTCACCACGGTAACTAAACACAATTGAATGCATCGAACTGTTCATTACTCAAACGAATCCCGCCAAGTACCAACGGCAATATACATCAACACACGAATCTTCCAATCTATCATACACTAAGATCCTCAACAATTACTCATCATAACATCTCGACCGTCAACCACAAACAAATTTCTTCCCATCTTACCCTTCAAAAAGCCTATACAGTAAGCGACTACTCATTTGGGAATTTTTTAATCATTTCAATTGATTTCGTTTTTGATGCTATTATTTTGATCTTTTTTAAGTTTTAATCCATTTGAAAACGAACTGGAACAGGTCCGAAACCGATCATCGTAGTTATATCGCAATCACGCTGCTAACGTCTAAATTACTATTAGAAGTTGAATTTGCAGTTTTGGAGCTGTTTTGGCTTTGAAAATGTGATTTTTTGATTTTTAACAGAGTAATTGTTCATTTGAGATGATTTTTAGGGATTAGATTTGATTTCTATTGAATTTGATCCCTGGAGATTGTTTTTTATGAATAGATGCCATTTGATATGTCTCTAACAAAGACGAAACTAGTCATGTCAGCTTGCACTCACACCCTCAGGATTTGTTGATAAGTTATTTTATTTTAAAATCTATTTTAATAAACTAGAAATCTCTCAATTACTAAAGGTTCAAGTGGTTGTGGTAAATCAACAATGGCACAACTACTTGAACGATTTTATGATCCTAATCAAGGACATGTGTTATTAAATTTTTGTTTCAGAGATATTGCATACGAGACATGCTGTTCTTTTTTAGTTAATCGGTGGTCATGATATACTAGCATTGAATTTATCATGGTTACGCTCACAAATTGGTCGGGTTAATCAAGAAACAACACTTGTTTTAGGTCTTTCAATTGCAGAAAACATGTCATATGGTTGTTTACCAGGTACATTTCAACAAACAGATATTATTGATGCAGCTAGACGAGCTCATTGTCATAATTTTATTGAATTATTACCACAGGTATGTTTCGTTTTTTTTTCTCAACAAATTATTGCAATAATAAAATTAATAATACGATTATGGTGCACTTGTGGCTTTGAATGGTACTTCATTTTTATCGGGAGGTCAAAAACAACGTATTGTAATTGCTCGAACACTCTTTCGTAAACCAAAAATTTTATTACTTGCTGAAGTAACAAGTAATTATATGATTTTTTAATTTTAAGAAGAAATTTTGACCTGTCTCTCGATTTTAGTTAGTCGAAGAATCATTCAGTGCTGCAAGACAAGATGATTAATCACGTACTGTGATTATTGATGCTCATCGTCTTTCAACTATTCAATCATGTGATTATATTTGTGTTCTTAATCCGAATGGGTATCTATTAGAAATTGGTACACATAGAGAATTATTGGAACGTCGAAATGCATATTATCGATTTGTACAAGATCACATTTGAGATAAAAACTCTTTTCATTTTTATTTTCTTTCAGTATACAAATGATAATAAATCGAAAAAAAAGATTTTCTCTCACATATTGGCTAATAATAATAATAATTAGCTTAAAAGCTGTTTTTATGAAGGAGATTTATTTAATGAAAAAGTTTTTAGCTTTACATTGATCTCATTTATCTACATTTCAGATAAGTTCAAAAATTTATTTAATAATTTGTTATATTGAATGGGATGCTTAGCTGATAGAATAAAAGAACGATCGTTATATTCTTTCTCTTCGTTAGCTTTTTCTCATCAAGACAATTAACGTATCAGTTTCAAATGTATAAAAATAAATTAATAAAAGAAGATGTCTATGCAAAAATTTATTTGAAAGAATCAATTCGATAAAACAATTATTTTTTAACAAATTTATTTTTAAATCATTCTTGTAACTCAATTCTCTCCGATGATTTGTTTACTTTTCGCCTTTTAACAATACAAATAACAGCCACAAATAAACCAATAATAATAATTGTTAAAGGAATCATTATTCCTAATATTATTTTCCATTTATGATCATCTTTTACCATTGCTGATGTTGTCAAACTTGATGTTGATGGTTGTTTCGTTGTTAGTGTTAACATAGTCGTTATCTGTGCTGTACTCCTCTCAGTTGAGAAAGTTGTGCTTGGTAATGATGATTCAGTTGAAGGAATAGTTGTAGTTAATAAGGACGAAGTTGATTGAGTTGATACTAAAGTTGTAGTACTTGTCAAATTTAAACAATATGAATCAATGTTCATGCATTGTTGAGTTAATTCATCTACAATCGATTGATTAGATAAACAAGATGGATATCCATTAAGTATCTTTTTAAACATAAATACAAAACAATTACATGGATGATCTTTGTCAATATATAGATATATTGGTTTGAATATTTGAAATAATGGCTTTGCAAAACAATAATCATCATTATTAAATTGAATAATCAAATAAAA